GGAAGGGCCTGGGGACCTGGGACAGGGACCAGGGGCCATGGGCAAGACCTGGGGACCTGGGGACCTGGGGCAAGACCTGGGGACCCGGGGCAAGAACCCAGGGAACTGGGGCAGGAACCCAGGGACCTGGGGCAAGGACGTGGTCATGCACAAGGATGCAGCACGAGCTGCATCCAAGGGGCAGGAATGGCCCCTGCCCGCGTCTCCTTGCTCCTGCTCTCCATCCCGAGGCTCCCGAGGCCCCTGGAAGCAGCTTTGCCCAGATGTCCCCTGGCGAGGGCTCTTTGTCCCGCAGTTCCTGCAGGAGACGCTGGCGGCGGTGGCCGATAACGCGTGGATCGGGCAGCTGGGCACGGAGATGTGCAGGCAGCTGAGCAGCTACAACGGCCTCGTGCCCGAGAAGGTGACGGCGCCTCCAGGCCAAAACCTGAGGGGGGACCAGGGGTCTTGTCCGGGTGCGTAGGGACAGGAGCCTCTGTCCGGCCCTGGCTCCCCATTCCGTGAGGGATGTGGAGCGGCTGGGGAGAATCCAGGGTGATGAGGATGATGAGGGACTTGGAGCATCCGCCCCGCGAGGAAGGGCTGGGAGAGCTGGGGCTGCTCAGCCCGAGGAAGAGGAGGCTGAGGGGGGACCTGGGCAGTGTCCATGGACACCCCAAGGGAGCAGTGAGGAGGACGGGGTGGCCTCTTTGCTGTGGGGCCAGAGATAGAACTGGAGGAAACGGCCCCAAATGGAAGCCCCAAAAGTTCCCTGGGAATTTAAGSAAAAATTTCAGGATAGGGAGGGTGACRGAGCCGGGAAYGGGCTGCCCAGGGAGGCTGGGGAGCCTCCCGCTTTGGAGATCTCCATCCCGCTGGGATGCGCCTGGGTGTCCCCCTGGAGCAGGGGCTGCACTGGGGGATCCCTAGGGATCCTCCCGGCCCGGGGCTGCTCCTCGGGGTGCCTTGGGGCCTCACCGTTTCTCCCGCTCCCGCAGAACTTCCTCTACAAGTGCATCGGGACGACGCTCGGGGCGTCCCTCAGCAAGGAGCTGGTGCAGAARCAGCTCCAGGAGCTGCTGGAGACGGCCCGCTACCACGAGGAGGCAGAGCGAGAGGTGAGGAGGCCCCGAGGACACCCGGGATGCGGGGGCACCTCGGGGTGCTGCCCGGAGCCCCGCGCTGGGCTGGGCAGCACCTGTGTGCTGAGGGCGCACATGGAGCTGCCCCCTCGGGGGAACCCTTGGGTGCCAGGAGGGGCTCTGC